AGGAGGGAGAAAGGAGGGGAGGAGGGAGGGAGGGAAGGAGGGAAGGAAGGAGAAGAATGGAAGAGAGGAAGGAGAAGGAGGGAGAAAGGAGGGGAGGAGGGAGGGAGGGAAGGAGGGAAGGAAGGAGAAGAATGGAAGAGAGGAAGGAGAAGGAGGGAGAAAGGAGGGGAGGAGGGAGGGAGGGAAGGAGGGAAGGAAGGAGAAGAATGGAAGAGAGGAAGGAGAAGGAGGGAGAAAGGAGGGGAGGAGGGAGGGAGGGAAGGAGGGAATGAAGGAAGGAGATGGGAAGGAGAAGAAGAGAGGAAGGAGAAGGAAGGGAGGAGGGAGGGAGGGAAGAAGGGAATGAAGGAAGGAGATAGGAAGAAGAATGGAAGAGAGGAAGGAGGAGGGAGGGTGGGAGAAAGGAAGGGAGGAGGGAGGGAGGGAAGGAGGGAATGAAGAAAGGAGATGGGAAGGAGAAGAAGAGAGGAAGGAGGATGGGAGGGAGGGAGGTAGAAAGGAAGGAAAAAGGGAGGGAGGGAGGGAGGGAGGGAAGGAAGAAGAAAGGAAGAGAGGAAGGAGAAGGAGGGGAGGGAGGGAGAAAGGAAGGGAGGAAGGAGGGAATGAAGGAAGGAGAAGGGAGGGAGGTAGAAAGGAAGGAAAGAGGGAGGGAGGGAAGGAAGGAGAAGGAAGAGAGGAAGGAGAAGGAGGGAGGGAGAAAGGAAGGGAGGGAGGAGGGAGGGAATGAAGGAAGGAGATGGGAAGGAGAAGAAGAGAGGAAAGAGAAGGAAGGAAGGGAGGGAGGTAGAAAGGAAGGAAAGAGGGAGGGAAGGAGGGAAGGAAGGAAAGAGAAGAAAGGAAGAGAGGAAGGGCGGAAGGAGGGACTGGCACAATGGTTGGGATGCAGCACTGCAGGCTAACTCTGCCCACAGCCAGCAGTTCGATCCTGACCGGCTCCAGGGGCTCAGGGGTCTTTTTTTAGCGGCTGCAATTGTGGGCAGAAGGCTCCGCCCCCCTTTCCCCCCTCTGCACAGGTAGTCCTCGACCTACGACCACAACCGAGCCCCCAAAGTCTCTGCTGCTAAGCAAGACAGACGTGAAGTGAATTTTGCTCCCTTCCTTGCCAAAGTTGCTCAGCGAATCAGCGCACTTGTTAAGTTAGTGTGACACGGTTGCTAAGTGAATCGGGCTTCCCCGTTGACGTTGCTCGTCGGAAAAAGGGGACTGCAGGAGCCCAGGAGACAACGTGGCCGTCGTAAGTATGAAGCAGGTGCCAAGCGTCTTCATTTTGATCCCAGGGATTCTGCAAAGGTCTAACGGTGAGAAATGGTCGCCAGTCACGGTTTTCAGTGTTAATCGTTTGCAATTTTGGACAGTCGCTAAACGAACTGTTGTAGATTGGTTGAGGAATTCTGGGGGATAAAGTCCGCCAAGAGAGGTTGAGGAATTCTGGGAGTTGCTACCTGGGAAATCATGGGAGTTGGAGTCCACACGCAACTCATTTGAGGAACACTGTTCAAGGCTGGCTGAAATCTGGAATCTCTGAGCACCTTTAATTGAGAGACGGGTGAACCTTACTTGGGAAAGCTGCTAGCAAGATTCCTTTAGATCAATGTTTCTCAACCTTGGTGACTTGAAGTCCNATAGATAGATAGATAGATAGATAGATATAATAAAGGAATGAATGGACAGATAGATGATTATAGAGATAGATGATTGGTTGATGATAAGGATAAGGATTAATGGATACATTAATCCTTATCCTTATGATAGACAGACAGACATTAATGATAGACAGATAGAAAGATGACAGGATAGAGAGACAGATCAACTGACAGATGACAGCCCAAACTCTGTAAACTTTGCGTCCCTATTCAAATCTCTCCTGGGCTCTTCTTACCTTGGGTTGCAATGTGGGCAGCTGGGTGGCTGGCGCTGGCTCGTACCCGTAGGTCTTCCTGGCCCCAGAGGACGGGTACTGCCCCACGGCTGGAGGGTACGCTGGCTCCGGCTTCCAAGCGCTCCCAGGGGGCCCATAGGAAGGCTCGGCTGCCTCCCAGCCTCTTTGGGGGGAGCTCCCAGCGTAGCCCGGTTCTGGCTGGCGGCCCGGCAGTGGTGTGGAGCCATAACCCATCGCTGGTGGGGGCACGTAAACGTAATCGGGTGCTCGAGGAGGTGCCGGCACATAGGGCCCCATGGAAGAAGCAGGCTGGGGGGCCAGGCTCCCATACTGGGGGGGCGAGGGCGGGAAGTGGGGGGCAGGATGAGCGGATTTGACCTGCACGTTGAACGGGGGGCGGGTGGGGGTGGCGGCCGTAGTGTAGGGTGCCGGAACGGGCTGAGGTTTCAGAGTTCCGACGGGCGTCACCGGGATGGGCTGGGCGCCAGGCTTGGGGGTGGCTGACTTTTTGGTGGCGGTCAAGGGGGGCTGGTTGGGAATGACCATGCGCTTGTGCCCTGTGACCGGAGTGGAGATGGCGGGTGTGGTCCCGGGAGATCCGCCAGGGATGCCAACGGCCTGCAAAAGGGAAGAAGAGGAGAATAAATTTGAGGCTTGGGCACTGCCAGAATGGCTCCGTGGAGTTAGCAGTTAGACTTAGCAATAGCAGTTAGACTTATATACCGCTTCATAGGGCTTTCAGCCCTCTCTAAGCGGTTTACAGAGTCAGCATATTGTGCCCCCAACAATCTGGGTCCTCATTCTACCCACCTCGGAAGGAGGGAAAGCTGAGTCAACCTTGAACTGGTGAGATTTGAACTGCCAAATTACAGGCAGCCGGCAGTCAG